CCCAATGTTTTCCTGCTGACTTTCCCGGTCCTGTAGCCACGTGGAGGTGTCTGGGCCCCAATGCCGTTTTTCTGACTGGGATATTTCCCCTTCTTTGTTGAGGACTCAGAGTAGCACCAGCCCGGATAGCTACAAAACATACCCTCATTGAGCAGGTAAATCTGTTTCACAAACATGCTCAATCCCAGTTGAGCAGGGGAATTAATATTGGATAATAGAGGAGTTGAATACCTGTAGTGAGTTATCTGTGGTTGTCTGTACGTAGAATTCTGAATAATTGAGAGAATCACTTTTAAAGTTGAATTCATGTAGGTTTCATATAATACCTTCCTTGCTAATGTGGAAACTCTCGGTTTTTCATCACATCAAAAAGCATCTGTTAAGTGTTTATAAAGTTCTGTTTGTTCATGGTAGCATTGTGATTATAGGAGAGTGTCCATTTTGAATGAAGAATTGTACTGTAGCCCCTTGAGGCTGGGGCTAAACGTATAGGTACAGTAGAAGGAGCCACATGGTTGTCAAGGCAACTTAACTTAAGAGCATCTGGTTTCCAGGCAACCTTTTCCGCCCTTGCCGCAAATACTTTCCCAGTCACTCTCAGAAGAGGCCCTTCCTTGCTTTTCCCTTCTAGTTTTGTGACCTCAGAATAAGGAAAGCCCAAGAAACCATGGAATGAGGCAAGGTTGGGACCAACCAGCCTCCCTTTCTTCCTTCTTCCCTTCCTCCTTCCTTCCCTCCCTCCCTCCCTCCCTTCCTTCCTTTTTGCCTTCCTTCCTTCTTCCCTTCCTTCCTTCCTTCCTTCCTTCCTTCCTTCCTTCCTTCCTCCTCCCTCCCCCCGTTTATTTTTTGGGAGTGCAGCCCATGGCCTGGCTTACGCTAGGCAAGTGTTCTTACAACTGAGCTACATCCTCAGCCCCAGGTTTGGAATTTTTGAACTGGCAAAATATATGGATCAAGTTGTAGGTTATGTTTATACTGGAAAAAAAGTCAGATTACAGAGCAAGAACACTTTCTTCCTGTCCTGCTAAAACACTAACATCAAATTTTTTTAATAGTTACTGTTATCTTCACGTATTCTTGATCTTCTAAAGCCTTTTGAAGCTTGTGAAAGTCTGATTCCTGCCAACTTGTGGCTTGTGAATGGAGCGACACGTTTATTCTGTCTGCCAGCGTGTGAGAGGCCTGGCCGGCGTCTGAAGTGATGGGGCAGGTTCACGTCGTTCCTTCTGACATCATAAGGGGTTACTGTTGCCGTAAACGTACAGCACAGTTAACTTGTTTAGGGCAGAGAAGGATGGCAGCTCCACGGGTATACGAAGTGTGGGAAGTCAGCCTACAGATGGTTTCATCCGAAGCCCTGAGATGCTTAACCATGCCCCATTCCTCTGAAGAACTTTCAGGGAAGTGAGCCTGGCCCCTTGGGTTGGAACAGAAAGGACCTTGTGCTGCCAGTGCAGTTGGGCTGCAAGTTTATATTTATGGTGGTAGCACCCCCCCGAATTCAACAGCTGTTGAATTCATGATAAATTTGGTATTATTTGTTTTTTTAAAAAAATAGTTCTTAGGGCTAGCCATTTATTTATTGATTTATTTATGCATGTATGCATGCATGCTAGGAATTGAACTTAGGACCTTACGCTTGCCAGGCAGGCCCTTGTGCCGCTAAGCTATATCCCCAGCCCTGTTTGTTTATTTATTTATGAACAGGGTCTCACTATGCAGTTTATTTTATTTTGAGACAGGGTCTCACTATGCAGCCCAAACTTGGCCTTGGACTCACTATGTAGCCAAGGCTGGCCTCAAACTCCCAGTGATCCTCCTGCCTCAGCCTCCTGAGTGCTGGGATTACAGGCGTATGCCACCTAGCCTTTGAGTTACTTGTTTAAAATAAAAAACTCTGAGGCTAAAAAATGCTGTTCTTTGATTTCTCCCGTACCTATTACAGCAGCTTCTGCATGCCCTAGCTGGCTCTTTTTTCTGCAGTACGGCGGATCCAACCCAGGGGCTCTCTGCCACTGAGCTACATTCTCAGTTCTGTTCGCTTTTTGTTTTGAGACAGAGTCTTGCCGAGTTGTCCAGGCTTGCCTCGATCCTGCGCTCCTCTTGCTTTGGCCTCTTAGGTAGTTCGGTGCCACCATGCCTGGCTCCTTCAAATTTCCTTCTCTGTCACCTCATTACTAGATACGTAATTACTAGATACGTAAACATCTTGCAGCTCATTAACTACCTGCAGTGCCGCAGCCATGAAGGTCTGTGAGGTCCGCCTTGGAGAGAGGATCTCACATCCTGCGGTTACCTGAAGTAGGTGTTAGGAAGGGAGTCCTCAGGTTACACACTGAAAGCAGCTGGCATTTCCCGAGCGCCCAGTCTACCAAGTGCTCTTCATGGGTCACCTTGTGACACTACACTATGCAGTGTAGTCTCTGAAGAGGGCACGCCCCATCTAGATGAGCAGACTCTGCAGAGCTGACAACCAGTTTTTTTTTGTTTTTTTCTCTGGAACCGGGAACCAAACTCACGACCTTGCGCTTGCCAGGCAGGCGCTTTTGCCGCTGAGCTAAATCCCCAGCCCTCAGTGCAGAGCTGAAATGACTTTTCGGGTTCATGTTTTAGTTTTGTAAGTTTTCTGGGGTTTTTTTTTTTTTTTTGGTCCTTTTGAGTCAGGGTGTGTGTGTACATATTGGCCTTTTTTGTTTGTTTGTTTGTTGGTACCGGGAATTGAACTCAAGATCTTAGGCTTGCCAGGCAAGCGCTTAAGCCACTGAGCTTAAGCCACTGAGCTATGTTCCCGGCCCACAGATTGGCCTTGAATAGCTCAGGCTGGCCTCGAACTTGGAGCATCCTCCTGCCTCAGCCTCCCGAGTGAGTGCTGGGATTACAGGTGTGTGCCACTATGCCTGGCTTGTTTACTTTTATATGATACTTAACTTGGGTTTTTTAAAAGTAAAAATAAGTTTCCAAATCTTTCGGCATTAGGAAGATAATGGTCTATTTTCCCACTGTTCCTCCAGAATTATGCACATACTCTTTGAGAAACAGTCTTAAGGTTATCTCTAATTTGACCTGTTAGAGAGTAGGGACCTTAAACTGCAGAGGGCTGTAGGAAGGGGATGAAGGCGCAAAGCTGGAGGGCCGAGAGGAGGCTGGTGTTGATATTTAAGCGGGAATGTGGTGCTGGGGCGCTCATTCTGAAGGTCCCATTTGAGTGCTTGGGAAGACCTGTACTCCCTTGGAAGGGATACTTGTGAAGGCTGGGGTTTGGAGGAGATACAAAGGTCGAAAACTTCTTTCACAGCATGTGTGATCAAGTGTGGCAGGTAAATACATGTAATAAATAGACGCATCGCTTTCCACCACTGTCCACTTAAATTCAACACCTGGCCTTAGAGGTTCAGAGGAGGCAGAGGGCCTTGAGTGGCTGTGGAGGCCTCCGCGGAAGAGGTGAGATTCAAACAATCCCTGGAGGATGGTCACATTTACAACTGGGAGAGATGTAGGCTGATGAGTGCTTCTACGCACCTGTTTCTTTTCTTCTCCCTCTTCTGGTACCGGGAATCGAACTCAGGACCTCACATTTGCCAGGCGGGTGTCGTGCTGCTGAGCTGTACCCCTGGCCGGCCCTGTTTCTTATTTATTCTCATTATTATTCATGTATATATTCAGTGTTAATCTCTCAATATTCTTGTCTTTGCTGTTACTTTTTATAGAATTACCCTCAGTTAGGACAGGACTTAGATGTTTTTTGTAGTCCAGGCTGGTTTTGAACTCATTATGTAGCTCGGGCCTTTCTCAAACTTGACAGCCTCCTGTCTGAGCTTCCTCAGTGTTGGGGTTGCAGGCGTGTGCCACCATGCCTGGCTGTCGTGACACATTTTTGTTGGTGGTGGTGGTCAAAGCCAAAGATTGCCACTTTGTGAGCCATCGCTGACAGGTGGTATTTTGTGGGCCTGCCCATTGTCCTTGCTGACCGTGAGTGCGAATGCCCTGGGTGAGTGTTGGGCCACTGCCCTTGTCTTACTCCTGACCTGACTCAGCATTGGTATCACCTGCCTTTGTGGGACTTGATTTGCAGCTTCTGATGTTGATTTCGCTGAAAGTGGGAAAAGGAACGTGTACTGTTTTGTACTGGGCCTTGCATGTGCTAGGCAAGTGCTCTGCCACTGAGAAAAGGAGCCTTAGAAAAGGAACCGTAAATAAGTTTTCTTTTTTTTGATCTTTTTGAGACAGGGTCTCGCTATGCAGTTCAGGCTGGCCTTGAGCTTAATTTGTAGCCCAGGCTGGTCTCAAACTCCCAACGATGCTCCTGCCTCAGCCTCCCGAGTGCTGGGATCATCTTTAAATTTCTTCTGCACTTTCACTGAAGTAATATCGTGTCCTTTCGTTTTAGGCTGCTTTCCTTCTTTCCCTGGCTGCCTCACATTCAGCGAGGGGCAGATATAAGCTCTGAACAGCATGGGGCGAATGATTTTTGTCATCAGCCTAAAGGGCACTTCGAACGTAAACGAGCGGAAACAGGTCTAGCAGTAAGAAGCTGCATTTCAGTGGAGTTTGCAGTTTGCTTCCCAAGTGCTTCCTTTTCTATGTTGAGCTGGCTTGCGGCCTGGGAAACTCCAAGTGGGGCGCTGTGCTTGGGCCTGGGAGCCCCCAGTTCCCGGCTAGCTCTCGGAGCCGCTCTCAGTGTCCGTGTCGTCTCGAGCGCAGCGCCGAACGTGTGAGGTGCTCACGGCCTGCAGGGCAGCGAGGACAGGACTGTGTTCTCACCTTGGCGTCTGGGCCGTGGTGTGCAGACACGGCATATATCGGTCGCGCTTTCCGAGGTCCCCTGTGCTGAGGACGGGACAAGGCCCAGGGTAACGAGCAGAAGTTACTGGGTTTCGTGCTCTGCTCCGGGGCTTGAAGGAAACGCTGCCAGCAGCGAGGCCGTCCTTGACAGGCAAGGACGGAAGGGCCGCAGCACAGCCCTCCGCCCGGGCCTTCAGGTGTCACCTCCTCCTTGGCAGGCGCTGAGCGACCGCTTCAGCGGTGAAATTCCCGATGAGCAGATGGCGCACAGCTCCTTCTTCCCGGACGAGTACTTCACCTGCTCCTCCGTGTGCCTCAGCTGTGGGTAAGTGAGCCGGCGCGGCTGCTCCCCCGGGCCGGGGCTCCGAGCGGGGCTTCCAGGCTCGCATGCACGCCAGTGCGCCGGGTCTGGTCACGTGACAGGCTCTGACCTAAGCATACGCCCAGAGCACAGCAGGGCTTCAGGAGTGATGTCCAGGCTTGTGTCCAGGACCCGGATGAGTCGGCCTGTGAAGTTCACCGGTGACTGGTTTGGGCAGTTTTTATGGCAGAGGACTTTGGGCTGCCTCCCTCTGTCTTTCTCAAGCAGAGCTTTCAGGCATTTTTTCATAGTGTTTCACTTATTCAGCTAATGGTTGAGGGCTTGTGTCCCACTGTGTGCAAAGGACTGAGGAAGGTGTTGGTCCTAGGTGCTTCCTTCCTGATGGGGACAGATGTTGGGGCACATTAGGGTTTCCCAGAGAGCTTCCAGGGCACCTCCTCTGGGGGTTCCCTGGGGCCTTGGCATGGGGTGTTTAAAAGGCTTCTCGGGTGATTCTCAGGTGTAGCCCAAGCTGAGAACATCGAGTTAGGAAAGCGCCTCTCACGCGTTTCTTTGAGTTGTTAAATACAGGTTCAGCTCCGCGGGTCGGGCAGGGCTGAGATTCTCCTGTGTCAGAATTAGAGCGGTGATTTCGCAAGTGTGTCAGAAAACCCTGAAGGATGTGCTAAAGCGGATCGCTGGTCTCCGGCTGCAGAACTTTGGATGCAGTGGGTCCTAAGACTGTGTGATTTCAGCAAATTCCCAAGTGATGTTGATGCTTCTTGGTGGGGGACCACACCGGAGTGTCCCCGCATTCGAGCTGTTGATGGCTGTGACACCACAGTCTGGGAGAGCTGTTGGATGGCCCCGGCGTGTGTCGGGTTAGATGGCAGGCTCTGTGTGCTGTGGACACTGCGGTCCCCTCACCATTGACTTGGCTTTGCCCAACACTGCCCACGCTGTCCACACCTGCCCCTCTACCGGAAGAGACCTGACCTGAGCCCACCTGTCTTATGAATGGCCTTTTGGCATTGAGCCCTACAGGCCACCTGCTGGGTACCATGGACCATGCCTGGCTTGGATAAAAAGTCTTGGCTCTTGGGTTTACAGTGTGGGCTACGGGAGAACTAAGGATTATCTTGAAGAGTCCAGCCTGGGAAGGGGAGAGGTATATCCTTTGCCACTGCCGTGTCATTTGTGCTCTCTGTGAGTAGCATGGGGGTCCTGAGCACTATTGGATCATTGTCTTGCCCTTCTGACAGCGTCACCAGGGCTTCCAGACTTTTCCCTTTTTTAACACTGTGAAATTCTGCAGTCCTGGTACGTTTTTGCCCTGTCAGGATGCAGAGCTCACTGTTCATTTGGAAGTTTTTCTTACTCAGCGTAAGCCTCCCTTAATGCGTTGCCAACTTTTTACCAACTTCTCTATTTTGGCACCCAGTGTTGGTTTAACCTCGCATTTCATCCTTTCTGGAGTTTTAGTTTCTTGAGAGGTGTTCAGGTTTTATCTCTGGTCAAGTTGATGTCTTCTGGCTTCTGCTGAAGGCCAGGTGGGTTTTCTAAGAAGAGATTCTTTTTTCCCTCTGTCCGCTTACAAGGGCATCGTTGTTCTATTTCTGTTATGCTGTTGATGGCGCGCGTAATGGGGGCACACAGGTTCTTGAGGGGAGCTACCTTTTCTGTGTTCCACATTCAAGGCCCGGTCAGTAGCCAGGCCTGGCTTCAGCCCTGTGGCTGTGGCACGGGCTCTGAGCTGTCTCACTGTCCGCCTTGTGTTTCCCGTAGGGTTGGCTGTAAGAACAGCATGAACCATGCAAAGGAAGGGCTGCCGCACGAGGCCAAGAGCCGCTGCAGTTACTCCCACCAGTACGACAACCGCGTGTATACCTGCAAGGTGAGTCTTCCCGGCCTGCCTGCTGCCGCGGCGGCCTGCTGGACACACTTTCCTTTGGGGAAAATGGTGGGGTTTGCCCTTTGCTGCACCCCCAGTGTGTGTTGTTCCAGTTGAGTTTATCTTTGGAACTTCTCTGCAGTTCTGACCAGAAGAATTCACACAACCTTATTGCTGGAGCCTCCACTGTTTTTATTAAATGCGTTTTCTCCCCTCTCTTGAGCGGTCAGATGAGATCGGGCTCATGGGATATGGCCCAGATCTCTCATCTTGGGCCATATACATTGGCTGTTCACTTTCTTTGGAGCAGGAGTGCTTCTTAGGAAATCAGATGGATTTCTGCTGTCTGACGTGTGTAATTTAGCGGTCAGGTTTGGGGCTTGGGCTAGGTACACAGTTCAGTAATCCTTCAGGGCACAGGCTTTAGAGAAACAAACCTTCGGAGGTCGTAGACTCTGGACATGTAGCCCCGGCTGGGATGGTTTGTGGGGGTGGGGCGTGAAGAGGCCATGAGGTCTGGTGTACGTGGAATGAGCTGGCAGAGCGCTCCCTGTTTCAGGCCTGCTATGAGAGAGGCAAGGAGGTCAGCGTAGTGCCCAAGACCTCTGCTTCCACCGACTCTCCCTGGATGGGTCTCGCGAAATACGCCTGGTCCGGGTGAGTCTAAGACCTTAGCTAAGGCTGGCTGGCATTCGTCTCCCCAGCGCCTAGCTGGTAGCATCATTTACTTCCCCCTCACAGGTACGTGATCGAATGCCCTAACTGTGGTGTGGTCTATCGGAGCCGGCAGTACTGGTTTGGGAACCAAGACCCTGTGGACACGGTGGTGCGGACGGAGATTGTGCACGTGTGGCCCGGAGTAAGAACAGTTGCACTGATTTTCCGTCTTTCTCTCTCTCTCTCTCTCTCTCTCTCTCTCTCTCTCCAGCACTCAGCTGCGTCCCCAGCCCGCTTTCTTCTCACCGTTCAGTTGTGCTGTGTGGGGAGGAATGGAGCTTGGGTAGAAGGCAGGTCGCCTTGAGTACATTAGTGGTTTAGAAAGGCGTCACCTGGAGCCCTCCCTGTTTCAGCACTATGGCTTTTTTGTTTGTTTGTTTTTGAGACAGGGTCTTGCTATGCAGTTCAGGCTGGCCTTGAGCTCACTTTGTAGTCCAGGCTGGTCTCGAACTTGTAGCGATCCTCCTGCCTCAGCCCTCCGAGTGCTGGGATTACAGGCGTGCACCACCATGCCTGGCAGCCCTTTGTTTTTGTTTGTTTCCTAAATAGTAGGAGCACAACTTTAAGTGAAATGAACTAAAAATTAATCTGTCATTGTCTGTTGGCAAATAAAACCTCATGTTCTGTTTGTTTTCCATACACATATTTTCATAGCTGTAGTTATAACTTAGTTGCTTATTTATTTGTTATGGGACCTTGTCTGACACTGTGAATGAGCCCGATCTCATCTGACCGTGAGGCTAAGCAGGTTAGGCCTATTGAGTACTTGGGTGGGAGATGAGGCCTTGCTATGTCGGCTGGAACTGGGTTCATGCAATCCTCCTGCGTTAGCCTCCTGAGCAGCTGGGACCACAGGTGACCACGACCACACCTGACCCAAGGGTAGTTTACGTGCCATTTGTCTTCTTTTTTTTTCAGTACCGGGAATCAGACTCAGGACCTTGCGCTTGCCAGTCAGGCGCTGTGCCGCTGAGCTGCATCCCCGGCCCTCTATGCCCTTTTTCTGTCTTTTTCTCCATAGCACATTGTTTGGTTCTGTAGTTTGCTTTGCTATTCCCTTAGTTTTGGCTATTTATTCTGTTTATCATTTTTTATTATCAACAAAAATGCTTTAATGACCATCTTCTTATAAGAAGGCTATTTCTCTGTTCTGGGAAATATTCTTGAAATGTGTTCTAGGAAGCGGGATTATGGGAGGCCTTTAATTACTATTTTTAATTTGATTTTAAAATTTAAGATTTGAGACAAAGCGATCTGCTTAGGAGACAGTGGTCTGTTTGGTTCTTTCTTTCTGCAGCAGCTCGGTATTTGCAACCAGCCTTGGTGGCATACATCTGTAGTCTCAGCTATTTGTGAGGCTGAGGCAGGAGGATCACTTGAGCCTAGGAGTTTGCGGCCAGCATGAGCAACATAGAAAGACCCTAATGCAACAGAGATAGAGACAGGGATGGTAGAAGACCTGACTGTTCACCCTCGGGTTATTCCTAAATCACAGCAAAATCGAACACTTCTCCACTCATGGAAGAAAGACAAGTAGTTCTCTTTTTTCTTCTTTTTTTTTGGACAAAGTCTCTATGCAGCTCAGGCTGGCCTTGAGCTCACTTTGTAGCCCAGGCTGGCTTTGAACTCACAGCAGTCCTCCTACCTGAGCCTCGCCAGTGCTGGGGGTAACAGGCGTGCGCCGCCTCGCCCGGTAACAAGTAGTTTTCTAAGAGAATTATTGTGCTGTTGTTCCTCTTGCTGAGGGCGTCACCCCGCAGTGATGCCAGCTTTGCAGCTGTGTGAGCTTTCCACTACCCGAGACAGCGTCTGGCATGGAGGGAAGTTGGGAGGCCTCGGGCCGTGACCGGAGGCCTGTCACTCAGGGCAGGCAGTGGCACGCTGTGACGCAGTGGGAGCGTATACTGCAGGGAGCCTGTGTACCTCGCAGCCAAAGATCGAGAGAGAACGAGACCCACTGCGTGACCTTACCTTCCTAGCAGACCCAGCCGCTCCCAGCGTCTCCCTCCTCCCAGGAGAGCCAAGCTGCGGATTGAGCCCTTAGCTCATGGGCCTTGCGGGGAGGACATTCCCCAGCCAGACTATAGCCCAGTCCTACCTGCAGAAGGCCTGAGCTCTCCTGGACCTGCAGGGTTTCCTTGCTGTGTGTGTGGACCCCCGCCCCTGCACCCCTGCCATTTCCGGGTCACTAGGATTCGCTGTTGTAGTGCGGTCTTCTTTCTGGAGTCCCCCTTGGCCTGATGGTCTCAATCTTGTCCCAGGGATTTAAAGTGACCTGAAAGGAAGAAGGTGAAGTATTTATTCCAGGAACACAGTAGTGCAGGGCTGCGTCCCTCAGAGTCCTGGGACTGGAACACTTGCTTTCTGTTCTGTTCAGTCGTCAGTTCCTCACTGGAGCCTATGTTGTCACGTACTGCGCAGCAGAGTCGAGCTGGATAGTTTGAGCAGTAGCCCCTTGGTCTCGCAGGGAGTCGGTAGGTAAGAGGCATTGCTCCCACACACAGGATCAGGGTTCTGAGGGTGCAGAGCTGCGCGGGGATGGCGAGGAAGGCTCCCTAACAGCCTGGGAAGGGGCTTCCTGTCCCCGCATGTACTGTAGGGAAAGTAAGGCCCGAGCTGAGCAGCTGCAATTCAGGCCTTCAGTGAGCGCTGCTGAGCCTAAGTCAGTGTGGACAGTTTGGGTGCAGTGTTACCTAGAAGCCAGAGAAGTCGCGGCGCCTCCCCATTCTCTGCTGTGGGAGACCGCATGGCTCTGAGCTGGCCAGCAGCTGCTCTCCCTCCTTCCCTCACTCACAGCATGATGGACGCCTGCATTTTCATTTCAGACCGATGGGTTTCTGAAGGACAACAACAATGCTGCCCAGCGCCTGCTGGACGGGATGAACTTCATGGCTCAGTCGGTGTCCGAGCTGAGCCTTGGGCCCACCAAGGCTGTGACGTCCTGGCTGACAGACCAGATCGCGCCGGCCTACTGGAGGCCCAACTCCCAGATCCTGGTACGCCGTGGCTGGAGGCGCCGCGCCGCTGCCACAGCCCACCCCGCTTAGGCCGCTTTGCGGCTTTCCGAGGGCGGCCCAGTGCCTCTCCCGTGCAGCGGGCTGCGGCGGGAGTGCTGGAAGGGGTAGAACTCGGAGGCAGTCAGGTCCCTGTTTGCTGCTCACTGATTTCCTGTGATGCTGCAAGTTTTCTTTGTTGTGGGGTCTCACTCCTTACCTGTGAGGGCCATAAATCAATACTGCTCCGCTTTCTGAGGTCACTGACCAGGGTGAAGAGAGGCCTTCAGAGGTCATCTGCACCCTCCTCGCCTGTGGTGTGAATCTCCGGGGCGAGCGCAGGCAGGAAGCCGGCCCCGGCCCCGCCCCTGGGACGGGACGCTCATTCTCCCTGCCCCGTCGGACAGCCACGCCACTAGGGAGCTCGCTCCTGATGGGGCTAAAACCGCTTTCTGAGTTTGTAGCTGCTCCCTGGGTCTCGGCTTCCTGAGCTGAGGGACGCCTGCGAGTCGTCCTCTCTGTTTTGTTTTGGGCTTGGAACAGAACTGCAACAAATGTGCGACGTCCTTTAAAGACAACGACACTAAGCATCACTGCCGGGCCTGTGGGGAGGGCTTCTGTGACAGCTGCTCATCCAAGACGCGGCCAGTGCCCGAGCGAGGCTGGGGACCTGCGCCCGTGCGGGTGTGTGACAACTGCTATGACACGAGGAATGCCCAGTTAGGTAACGTGGGGCCCTGAGAGCTACAGGGGCAAGGGGAACCCGCCTTCCTTTGCACTCACTGGGTTTCGGGGCCCAGACCCCCACTGCCCCAGTCCTGGTCCTGCCACATCACCCTCCTGGCCGCGCCGTCCTCTCAAGTGCTTTGTTAGTGGAGCCTGGCGGGGGCTGCTCCTCGGGGGACTTGGGCCTGGCCGAGCTCCACCGAGAGACGCTTCTGAGGAAGGAGCATACGCAGAGAAGTGGAATTCGGAAAGCCTCCAGTGTTTACCGGACGTGGCTTAGGCTGAGCCCTCTCTGGGAAGGTTCTAGGTCGTGATCCCCCAACTTCTCTGACTCAGTTTAAAAGAAGGTTGACCCCTTTGAAAGAGGTGGAGGTAAAGGGAGCAGATACCACGCAGTTCTGGTCTGAGCCATGGCCTAGACCCCGGCGGCCACAGCAGGACACAGCAGGACACAGCGATCCAGGGAGAGGAGTCGGGAAGTCTGCTGCGGTGGCCCTGGCTTTCCATTTGGGGAATGACTGGGAGGAAACATCTCTTCTTTTGTCCTTGTCCACAGATATTACCGAGGCACAGGCAGATGAAGAAGGTGGAACGCTCATTGCTCGGAAGGTGGGCGAGGCTGTGCAGAACACGTTGGGAGCCGTGGTGACCGCCATTGACATACCACTAGGTGGGCTTGTGGTACATCTCTTGGGTGTGGTGCGTTACGACGAAAGGATGCGGGTGCCCTGGACTGTCATTTTGCCAGCCTCGATGGAGCTGAGCAGCAAAGAATCAGTTATAACTGGACCTTAGCCTGGTTCTGGTGAACCCTTGATGGTTTCATGTTATTCTGGGGGGCTGCTCCTCTTCTCCCATCACTTGCTGCCTAACCAAGTACTGTACTTGAAATGCGAGAGCCTGTCAGCAGCCGTTTTATAGCTTACAAATATGTACGTCAGGAAGTCAGAAGCTGGGCACGGCGGCCCACGCCGGCACTCGGGAGGCTGACCAGCCTGGGCTACGAAGTGAGCTCAAGGCCAGCCTAAACTGCACATGGAGACCTTGTCTCAAAAAGAACCAAAAAAAAAAAAATGTCAGGGAAGGCAGTTTTTCTGTTCTGGGCACCACTGCCTGGAGTTACTGCTCATACTTCAGGATATAGCTACTGGACTGCTCTCGAAAGTCCAGCCTGATCTTGCACGCTGGGGGTCTTAGTGGGACAGTTGGAAGCTGGTCTTAACAGAGGCTCCCTGCCTCCCACCCTCCGCCCTTTTGCGTACCCTCTAGGCCTCTTCACGTGTGTCTTCGGTAGTAGTTTGGTTCAGAGCTCTAAGAGCTAAGGTTTCAGGAAACGGGAAGTAGGAGCTGCCAGTCTTCTAGGGCCAGCCCTGCAAACTGGGTGTAGTCTTGCGGTCACAGAGCCTACCTGGATCTAAGGAGGGGGCAAGGAGAGAGAAGGCACGTGAAGGAGTCTCTGCCTATCGCTAGTCTCCACCAGCCAGGGTATTTAACGCTGGAGATTGCTGCCCAGCCCCAGCTGTGAGGGTTATGTGTCGTATTTGTAGGAAGGCCAGGAGGGGAAACTGACTGGTGGAGGAGGACTTTGGCAGTGTGGCCAGGCCCTGGGGTAGTTTGGTGCACTGTAGGGAAGGAACCCAAAGCCTCCTTGGTGGGCAGTGATGGACGTGATGTGGATCACATTTAAATGCCGTAGCCTATAAAATAAGCAGACGTTCATGAGCTTTTGACTCAGGCATAGGAATAGACGGATTTGGCTAGGTGCAGAGCTTAGGTTGCATTTGCCCTCGGGTGTGCGAGAGGCCCGGGCTCTCCTTGGCCCAGGTGCCTGCTGCCTCCGCACCAAGTGCTCACTCCCTGAGCTGACCACTGAGCCAGCATGGTAGACACACTTCTTCCATGCTCAGAAGTAGCTCTGAGGCGG